TCTGGTCTCAGGTCCTGCTGGTCAGCGTGGTCCTTCTTGGCTGGTGTCCTCTGCGTCCTCCCCAGGAACTCTGCCTGTCGCAGGACATTCTTCTGCCCTGCCTCCGCCAGGCCCTCTGCCCGTGTGGGCCTCTCCTCTGCTGCCCTGGCTGGGTGCAGGGGTGGGGGCTGTGCACAGCTCTGCTTGCTCAGCTGACCTCCTTCCCAGCTGGTGACCCTAAGAGAGAGGGCCACTTCCCCTAAGGTCTTTGGAGGTAGCTCACTGAGAATCCCTTTTCTGGAGTAGTCACTGGCACAGAGGATGGAGTTCTGTGGTTGCCCTACTGTGTGGCCCAGGAGGCAGTGCTGCTCCAAGCCAGGCTCCAGAGGGTGCAGTGCCCACAGGAGTGGACGTCAGGCCTCACACCTGAGCCCAGTAGCCAGGGATTTGTAGGACCTAGTGGGGGTGGGGCGGGAGGGAGCAGGACCAGGCAGAGCGCACTCTGCAGGGCAAGCAGAGACAGGCCTTGTGGTGTCCCTTTGTGGCCTCTGGCTGACTCTGTCCCTCTGGGTCAGAGGCTGTAGGCTCGTTCACCTCCCAGGCTGCGTCCCCTACTCAGTGCCAGTGTTGCTTCTGTCAGTCATTGTGGGTGTGACAGTGTGTTGCAAAGAGGCCACGTTTTGCGAACCCTTTGGCATGAAGAGCCGCCCCAGGGTGCAGGGCTTTCTTTCCTTGTGCACGTTCATAACTAAAAAGGCTGCCGTGCCCTGCTGAGAGAACTGGAACTGTTGCCTGTTAAGTGATGGCTGTGCCTTCACACAACTCCCAAGTACCGTGCCACACAGGGGACCAAATGACATCAGCTCTGGGCTGTCGGGTCTCCTTTTCTACGGAGGATGGCGTGAAGGACCTTAGCCAGAAGCAGCTGCCACGTTTACGCACCTCTGACTTGGATGCGGTTTCCCCTTGACCTGCTGGTGCCTGTCCCATGGCCTCTGCTGGAGGACCCTGCAGGAAAGCAGAGGCACCACCTCTCTCCCTCTGCACACTTCATCTGGGCGGGTTTCGCCTCAGTGGCCAGGCTCCCGGTGTCCCTTTTGGAGAATGCTAGAGAACAAGTTGCCTGAGGAGGTGCTGGGACTCGGCCTCTGTCTGCGAGCTGGGTCCTCAAGCCCTTCGTGCTCCTGCAGGCCCAGCATCCTGCCGTGCTGGGCACTGGGCTCCACCTCCTGCCTCTGCTCCTGGTTTGTGTCCCTGGGTGGGTCTCAGCCATCCTCCGGGTGCGGTTGGTAGCTTTGGGTTACGTGGGCTCGTGGGTGCAGAGGGCGGTGCTGATGGTCAGCCTGGACGCCTGTCCTCTTCCACCAAGACCAGGAGCCAGTGTTAGCCGGGGTCTGCCGCAGCCTGTCTGCTCCTGGTCTGTGTTAGGAGCCTGTACATGGCTCTCTCCTCTTTGTTTTGTCCCCCTTCTGTGGTCTGTGATGCTGGGAACACAGAGACACTTCTGCCCGGCAGTTTTTCTTTTTAACCTGTGTTCAGCCAGGCGCCCTGTGTGCTCAGCTCGTCAAGGTTCTGTCCCCCCTGCCTCTGGAAGTGGCCTCAGCAGCTGTGAGTTGAGAGCTGGGTGGGCAGGCCCTCCCCCTTTGCCCAGGCAGGATGCCATCTCCCATCTGCTGTGCATTCTCTGTGTGCCCAGCAGGATGGTGCCCAGACTCAGGGGTAGGGTGACCTGGGCAGCCCTTGCTGGAAATCTAAAGGAAATAAAGCCCATGAAGTGGCATGAAGTTCTAGCCTGTCACCATAGGGGACCATGAGTACCACTGATGGCTGGTGTAGAACCACAGAGTTTATTCTCACAGTTCTGGAGGCTGCAGACTTAAAAGCAGTCCCCTGGGCCAGAATTGAGGTGCCGCAAGTCACTTCCTCCAGAGCTCTGGGCCGGGGCTTCCTGACTCTTGCAGGTTGGTGCTTGGCCTGTCACCGTGCTACCGTCTCCTCGCTGTCAGCATGTGGCTCTCTTCCCCACATGCCTCCCTCTGGCTCCTGATCAAGCCTCTCTGCCCTGCTCTTACTGGGACACTTGCCATTGGGTTTAGGGCCAACCTTGGTACTCAGGGATGATCTCATCTTGTGATGATTAACTGCATCTGCAGAGACCCTTGTTCCAAGTAAAGTCACAGGCACAGATTCTGGGGATTAGGGAGGACACAGATCTTTTTGGGAACTACTACTCAGCCCACCACAGGGACTACCAAAGGCCAGTGTCTGTGTTCTGTCTGTGTCTTTGTTGGTATTTCTGCTCCATTGGCAAGACCTGGCTCATAACACAGTGTATGCCTTTGCATAGATTCAAATCTAAGTTGGGCAGGACAAGAAATGATTTAATCATCTGTGGGCTGTGTTGCTCAGGCTGGGCTGAGGCCCTGGGCTCAAATGACCCTTCTTCCTCAGCCTCCTGTGTGTCACATGCCTGGCTAGCTGACCTAATCCTGACCCCAGAACTCACTGAGAAGAGGAGCCTGTTGAGTACCTGCTGCTGGATGGACCTGGGGCCAGTGGGCGGCAGGGAGACTCCCACCTGCAGTGCCGCTGTGGGCCACCTCAGGCTAATCCTTGCAGGTGCATTGGCTAATCCAGCCCAGGTGTCCCCTCGAGGTCCTAGAGAGTGACAGTAGCCATCTCTTTTTGTTAAACCTATTTAAGATAAAAATGAAGAAAAATGGGTTCTTACATAGCTGATAGATACTGCACGTGCAGAGATTTGTGTCAGTTGAAAACAAAGAAAAACAAAACAACCCCAAGAAAACCATGAAATTGTAAAATCAGACCTGGGAATCGCCTGTTTTAGGAAGGGAAATGGAAGGAGTTGCGTGGACGGCATGGAAACCTGGTGTGTTCATTTTCATCCTGACATAAACTTCCGTTTTTCAGGTGACCGTTTACAAGAGCAGTTTGGACATCATTGAACCCTGAGAGTGTTGTAGTGACCAGGTTTCCTAATAAGTTTACAGTGATTTTGTTTTTAAAAGGCGGTCGATTGACACTAGCTTTGTTGACACCCTGTGGTTGCTCGGGACCCTTTGGTGATCTGCTACTCCACCAGAGGGGCAGACAGATGCTGTTTGTACTTGACAGAGGTTGAGAGTGGCAAGGTCATATGCACTGGCTTCTTGGTTTTCCGACTCTCTGTGATTCCACGATGTGGGTTTTAACTCCTTCTATCGCCAGGGACTAAAGTCCCCCTCTCCACATTATAGCGGCATGCATGTGACCGTGTTCTGCCTGGCAATCTAAAATGTGCGTCTGGTGAAGGATCAGCCTGGGTCTTGCTGGAGTGGACAGTTCAAGGGCCGGCTGTGTGGGATGAAAGAGTAATAAAACAAGATGCTGGTTCTGGATTTTTTTCCTATCATGGATGTAAAGGATTGTTTTAGCTTTTTTGTTGCTGTGACTAAGAGGACCCGGCCAGAACAACTGTTGAGGAGGAGAAGTTTATTTAAGGGCTCACGGTTTTAGTGGTCTCAGTCCATACACAGCCAGTTCTATTCTATCATGGTGGAAGAGTGTGGCAGAGGGAAGCAGCTCACATGATCAGGAAGCAGACAGACTCCGCTCTCCAGATACAAAATATATACCCCATAGTCCCGTCCCCAAGGAACCATTTTCTCTAGCCACACCCCACCTGCCTCCAGTTAACCACTCAGTTCATCACATCGGGGGTGAATTCACTGATGAGGTCAAGGATGTAGCCCAGTTATTTCTTCTCTAAACTTTCTTGCATTGTCTCACCTGTGAATTTCTGGGGGACACACCATATCCAAACCATAGCAAGGACTTAATAGGACGGGATGTCATTTGGCAAGGGACAGTTAGAAGAGACTGCTTGGTCTCCTTGTCTGTGTTCACACTGGCTGGTTCATGAGCCGGGCAGTGGTTTAACCCATACAGGCCTCTGTCTATGCCAGGAATCCAGCCACAGGACTTTTGGTGTGAGTGTGGGATCGCCGTTGGCCCCAGTGCAGTGAGTGCATCTGCTTACCTAGTGGCCGATGCTTTACTCACCCCAGCTTCCCTTCCTCACCGAGAGGGGCAGCCCTGTCCCAGGCTGCCCCATGTGTGGCCCTGCCTTGGCTGGGTTCCTGCACTGGCAGTGGTTAAGCTCACCTGGGGACACCCCAGAGCTCTGGGCCAGGGCATCTGGATATGCTCCATCTACCAAGGGAGCCTGCCGAATCCCCAGTCAGAGCCTCAGTTGCTGGTGCACTCCAAGGCTCATTGCTGGGGCTGTGCCATGTCCCAGCACCCAGTGAAGACCTGGAGCTCAGCTGTATTCTTATTTTTTAAAAAAATAAATGCATAAAAGTGGGAACTTCAAAGCATTTTGCTGAACCAAGCCCTGAAACCATCTTTGTGAAGGTGACTTTCTATAAATGTGGTTGCTAACCCTGGAGTTTCCTCAGGGTCCTCATTTCTTTCATCTGACAAAGGACAGAAAAAGTAAAAGAAGCCTCAGTTCCTAAAATTGGACCTGACTGATTTCCCAGTTTCGTGTCAAGTCACATCTGTGAAATGTGCCATTTTAAGCCAAAGCTTTGCTGAAGAACCTGTGTGCCGATGGTGGTGACTGGAGCACGCACGTGCGTCCTGGAGTGTTTTTGAGAGTTTTTTAAATCTCTAACACCAAGTGCTATTTTTGTTTGTTGGATTTGAAGAGAGTCTGGAGAAGTATCGAGTGTTCACAAACCTGCAGGCGGGTGCTCATGGGATCTTCAAGAGGGAAGTCGGTGTTGCCTCGAGTCAAAGGAGGAGGCTGGCTGGGGGCGGGTCCTGCTCGGGTGGCGGGCCCCTGGGCGGGCTGGCACTGTGGGTGCTGCATCCGCCTGTGTCAGTCCCTCCTGTGTAGAATGGCGTGGGTGGGCCCGTTGCGTGCTGCACACAGCTTGGAGTGACCCTGCGTGGCAGCACCTGGGGCTGACCCGCCAGGCTCTGCTAACCCTGCCGTGGGCCCTTTTCCCTTCCAGGCAGCTGTGGCCTCTTCCTTGTCCAGCTTGGCGTGCATGCGTGCGGTCCGCTGGGCTGTATGGAGTCCAGTGCTGGATGTCCGTGCCGGAAGTGTGACTTTGCCTCTGCAGGGCGGGGTCCTGCACAACCCCTTGCACTGCCTGGTCTATCAGGTGCCCTCAGCCAGCAGGAGCTCCGAAGAGGTAAGCCACTAGGTCGTTCGTACGTGTGATTCTTCTCCATTGAGCTTCTAGCAAGTTCTCTCACTTTTAAAACCAGAAGTTGGCAAATAACGTTGCAGATGTTTCAGGAACAGTATGTTTTCACATTATAGATATACCCTTAGAAAGACAGAGAGCCAGGGGCCATGGCACCTGTGATCCCAGGAGCTCGGGAGGCTGCGGCAGGAGGATGGCGAGTTCAGAGCCAGCCTCACAACTCAGTGAGGCTCTGTCTCTAAATAAAATGTAAAACAGGGCTGGGGTGTGGCTCGGTGGTGCCCCTGGGTTCCCCCCACAAGAGAAGACAAAGATGATTGTGAGCCAGAGTCGGGTGTGTACTCAGTGTGGCCAGCTGGGGCTTTCCTGGCGTCCCACTCCTGTGTCTACCTGTGCTCACTGTGCCTCGTGCTGCACTTCTGCGTCTTCCTGATGCCTCTGGCGCTGGTCAGGTCAGACCCGTAGGGACCGAGGGACACCCACTCTGGCCTGTTGCTTCATTCAGTGGACTTGTGTTGAGCACCTGTGGAGACACCAAGAAAAATGTCCCTGACCTCATGGGATTTATAGCTCAGTGGGGTGGCCGGTGTTCGTCAGGAAAAACACGGAGACTGTGAGTGTTCCAGGGTGTCTGGGCGAGTGGGTTGTGGGCGGTGTTACTGGGGTCCCTTCACTGTTGTTTATTATGAAACAAAATGTCATCATGATGATATGTCCTTCCTTCAGTAACTCCTGTTTTTCCCCTTTAAAAAGGACATGTATGTTCTTTTTAAAAGAATATTTATGTCTCCAGAACCTGCCACCTTCAGTTCTTAGCGGGACTTATGCTACTTACCTTTGTTTTCTTAATTACGTGGTTCTGTTGCTGCTGTTCCCAGTGTGTCTGTTTTAGACATTATATGTCAACGTCCAGTCCTGATGGATGGGGACACTAGCTATTGGACACACTCCTGTTCCTCTTTCTTAAAAAATATCTTTATTTATTTATTTTTATATGGTGCTGAGGATCGAACTCAGGGCGTCGCGTGCTAGGTGAGCGCTCTACCGCTGAGCCACAACCCCAGCCCCCACTCCTGTTCCTCTTAAGAAACACCGCTCGGCCTTGGATTCACATCCGTCTCAGGAAGTGTGCAGCACAGCCCAGCATGGCTGGTTGGAGAGCCAGAGCGGCTGGGAACTGGAAATCACTAGGACAGCACGGAGTGGGGAGCTCGGGGAGCAACTGCAAAGTTGCTGGCCTCTAGCTGCATGTGGTGGTTTGACCCTATGCAGCCTGGGGTAGTTTGAGAGCTGACTTGTGGGGTGGACTGCCATCCAGCCCAGCATTGTCCACTGGTAGGAGCACATGCAGATCCGACGGGTGTGGTGCAGGCTTAGGGACTTCGGGAGCGGTGCTGATGTGGGAACTGTGGTCTGCAGGAGGCTGGTCACAAACTGTGGCCTGAATGTGCTGGGTTTGCTTCTGCCAAGCAAAAATCGCAAGAGTCTTTTTTTATGGGATGTGGACCAACGTCCCAAAGAAATGGGACACTGATGGTGTAAGCTTTTAAATGTCCATGGGACAATCTAAAGTTAATTGGCACACAGGGAGCCTGGAAAAGCTCCACTTGGGGAACAAGACATTAATAGACATGGTCATGGAGATGACACAGATGTTGGAGTCATCAGACAGACTTTAAAAGAGCCACTGCTACTGAGTGGAGCTTACCCAGAAATGGAATCTCTTTATTTGAAAGTCAATAGAGGTAGTTCACTATAGTACCAACAGTCTAAAGAAGGAAAACCGTGTGATCATTGCAATTGATGCAGAAGAAGCACTGGACAGGACTCAGTGCCTGTTTGTCACGAATGCTCAAGCAGCTGGCAGGGGCAGGAGGCGTCCTTGTGGTGGTGAGAGTCGGGAGCGAGGGACGGACACCCACTCGTGCCTTGAACTCCTGCCCAGCCCTGCACAGGAAGTTCCAGCCAGCGCAGGTGTCAAGGAAGAAGGCGTTCAGTTCACCAGCGGGGAGGAGACAGCTTCCTGTTTGTGGACAGCGTGTTTGTCCGTGTCCCAGATCCCAAGGGGAGTGGAACAGATCTTCCAGAGTGGCCCCCGAGAGCACGTTGTGCGCATGGAAAGTCGTCCTGGTTCTTGTGGACCCGAGCAAGGGGCAGTGGAAAGCAAAGTGTGAAAAGGCCGTTTCTGGAGCCCTCCTCTCCACAAAGTAAACGCAGCAGAAGGTGCTCGCAGCCTCGTGTGCTGAAGACCCAGGACTCGTGCCTTTTGCAGATGCCATTAGTCTCGTTTTGGTTCCACCTGGGTGAAGTCTGAGGAGACTTGCATACCAGGGAGACTCCATGCCCAAACCAGCCTGCAGGGGGGTGAGCGCAGTCGGAGTGCCAGCAGGCTCTTTTTTTGTACATACAGACAAGCTGATTCTGAAACTTATACAAAAAGACGAATTGGAAGAGTCAAACAGTTTTGAAGATGGGCAATGCAGTGGGAGGCAGCCGTGCTGCTGGATTTTAAGACTCCCCGGAAATCAGAGCTGGCGGGGTGGAGCGGCCGGGCCGCATTCCCTGTAGCCCCCCTCGGCTTCCCATGGAGACCTGGCAGCCCCAGCATGGCTCCTCACGCTTTGCCTCCGCCCAGCGCAGGGGTGGCGCCTGTCGGGCCCGTGCGCAGCTTGCAGAGCCTCACCGTGCTGAGTGGGACAGCCCGTCTCGGAAGGGCTGCCGGGTGGTTTTGTTCCCACGAATTTCTCAAGACAGCTGAGCTTGGCTGCTGGAGAAGTTGGTGGGGTGGCCAGGGCGAGGCGGGTCCCGTGACCACCACGCAGCAGCCGCAGCCCCCCCACGAGGTAGAGTGGTCTGGATCCCAGTTGTGCCGCTGGCCGCGTGAACCTGTGCAGGGGTTAAATCCCTAGAGGTAAAAAGTATAAAGCCATTTGTACACATTGTAGAAAAATAAAAATATGGTGGTTTATGAAGTATATTTTTTAATACCTTTATTTGTTTATATGTGGTGCTGAGGATCGAACCCAGGGCCTCTCATGTACTAGGCGAGCGCTCTACAACTGAGTCACAACCCCAGCCCATTTATTAAGTATTTTAAACTAACTGCTACTTGGATAAATGCCATTCTGTGATGAGGTCTTCTAGGATTTCAGTGTCACCACTGGTGGTTTTGTGCTCTGAAAATTACCTTACATAGGCGAAGCATGCGTGGCTTTAGCTAACTTTGGTCTTACTGGGGCTTTCTTTTGGGGTGGTGTGCTGTCCCTGGGGGTCATTCCAACAGGAGTGCTGACCAAGGGGCTGCACCTCTCTCCACCCTAGGTGAAGCAGGTGGAGTCAGGGACAGTCCAGTTCCAGTTCTCACTGAACCGGGAAGAGCCTCTAGGCACACCCATGGAGCATGCCAACGGCCCCAAGGCAGCGCGGCGGTCCTGCAAGAGGCCTCCCTCGTCCCCTTCAGGTGAGCAAGTGTGGAGAGCTGAGTCTTGAAGCCCCAGCGTCCTTCCCTCAGTTCCCAAGCAGGTCCTTAGTCCCACATAGCCGTGGTCAGTTTATAGGATAATTGTTAGAGATGGCTTTAATCTGGGTCAGTTGGTTTTTGCTTGAGACGATGGTGGAGCCAGGACCGTGTGATGAAGTGTGGTCTGTGTGACACCTTCCCCTGGCTGTCCTGCAGGCTTGGGGCCACCAGCTCTGTTTTGCACTGTTAGTGCAGCTGTCCTTCTGCTTCTGGAAACACTGTCTGGGACTTGGGAATCGGTGCTGTCAGGACGTGCGTAACGAGGGGAGTCACGGCGGGGTGTGAGCAGCAAGGGCCCCGTGGAGGTCAAGCCTTGTCGCGGGTGGAGGAGTAGTGAGGGCGTCAGCTCAGCCTTGGTTGGCTCAGCTTCTGCTTGGCAGGGACCCTGTGCTTGGGCCTCTTATTTGAAATAAGCTCTGCTGAGAATTGTCCTTGGTGAAGCGCAGTGGCGTTGAGAGCGAGTCCTTGACTCTGACCCTATGGCCTTCTTTTACTTAACAAGGACAGTTGTGGGTGCACTAGGCCTGCCCTGACCATCCAGCACAATCTCCCCACCTCGGTCTGCTGATCAGCAGCCTTACTTCCCTAGACCGTGCTACAGGACACACTGGTAGGCGTGGGTGTTAAGACGTGGACGTCCTGGCCATGGGGAGCACTTAACTCTGCCCACCAAAAGGAGGACAGATGGAATAGCCAATAAATGGTGCGGCATGATTAGCTGTCCATGTGGGAAACAAAATTCAATCCAAACTTCATACAGTACAAAAATAAATTCCAGATGGAATAAAAAACAGAACTTTAGAAATTTCAGAAAAAGTTAGAATTAGAAGATTAGAATTAAAAGAATTAAAAATTAAAATTAGAAGAAAGATTGTAAGAAGCTTTTCTCTATGTCAGGTGTGGTGGCATATGCCTGTCATTCCAGTGGCTTGGGAGGCTGGGGCAGGAGAATCGTGAGTTCAAAGCCAGCCTCAGCAGCTCAGCAAGACTCTGTCTCTAAATAAAATGTAAAAAAGGGCTGGGGATGTGCCTCAGTGGTTAAGCACCCCTGGGTACAATCCCTGGCACCAAAAAAAAAAAAAAAAAATTCCTCTAAATCAATAAGATACAGATAAACAAAAAGAAAATAGAAGACATGAGGAGGAAATTCTTGGAGAAGAAATCAGGGTGACTGATAAACGTATGGAAGATGCTCAGTTTTACTAGAGATTGGAGAATGCAAGGTAAAACAAGAAATCGTTTCTCCTCTTGTGGAAAGTCCAGCTGTCTAATAGCGTGAGGTCAGCAGGGATGTGGTTTAGGAGGGGCTCTCACCACCCAGGGGGATGAGGCGCGCAGGCTGCTTCCTGGAGCGGCTTCGTGAAGTTGAGCTGACACCCACGATACCTTCCCAGGTGTCTGTTAGAACAGAGAGTTCATGTGGGACGGAGCGGGGTCAAGGAGGCTTGTGACACTTTTTGATAGTCAGGAATTCAAAAAAACTGCCTGCTTCGCAGCTGGGGAGTAGCAGGCCATGGCCTCTGCACTCCAGGTAGGTGAAGGGAGCTCTTCTTGCACCGCAGGTAAACCTGTAGCACATTGTGCTGGATGCAAACAGCAGGTCCTGGAAGGAGAGGCCAGGCCGTCAGGCATGCCACTCGCCTCCTGCTTGATGCTCCACTCTGTCCTCAGTCCTCAGCTGTAACCTCAGGGGTTAATGGTAAAAATATGAAGAACGAAGCTTGAGGACTCTTAGGACAGAATTGGGAATGCTTTAGTGACTTCCAGGGTGGGAAGGCTTCCACCAGCCACAGAGAGGATCGAAATGTGACAGCATCAAGATAGGAAAACCCTTTCCTACGGAAAAGACTCCACAAAGAAAGTGAGAAGGCAGATCTCCGCTCGGAAGACATTGCAAAGCATCCACCACTGAGTTAGTCCGAGACTCAGCCCTGGAGGTGCTTCTCTAAGCCAGGCCTGGGTGAGCAGCAGGGAGCAGAAGTGGGCCCAGAGCACGGGCAACGGGGTCGGGCCTGGCAGGGGCAGGGGCTGTCCTTAATATCACCATGCCCTTGCTGTTGCCAGCCTTCTGGTTGGCACCATCAGTGGGCACTGACCACCTGCATAGACCCCTTTTGACCAAGGGTTTGCTGAAACAGAGACTGAGTCTTGCTGGAAGCCAGGCAGTCAGCAGGACACCTCTCCAAGGAGCTTCCCCTCACCTGGTCGGTTCTCCCTGGCTGCCGCCCTCCCTCTCCCCGTCCACTCAGCAAGTGCACTCGGTCTGTGAGCTCAGGTGCTCTGAGAGGCTGTGTGCAAACCATCCAGCCACCACGTGTATTAGGTGGTGCAGGGATTATGGTCAAGGGGGTGCATGGTGGGGTCAGGGAGTACATGGAGGCGTTGCACCTTCTGCTGAGTCTTGCCGTGAACTTAAAACTGCTCAAAAAATAAAGTCTATTAGAAAAACAAAGGATGAGGAAGGATGGAGGGGTAGAGAGTGACTGGTCTGTCATCCTTAATTCGATTAACGTGTGTTCAGGATTTCTGCTTCTAGAACTGAGGCTCACCCGTGGCCAAGGCCAGCGGCTTGTTTTCTGTAGAGGCCATCTAGTAACTACTTTAGGCTTCGCAGGCCAGGCGGTCTCTCCTCAGCTGCTGGACTCTGCTGGTGCGCCCCAAAGCCATCGGATGACAGAAGAGGCGTGGGTGTTAAGACGTGGCATGGCTGTGTTCCAGCAGAACTTCATTTACTCTCCCGGTTTGACCTGGGCCTGCAGATGCGAGTCTTAGCTTTCCCTTCCTCTTTCTTCATCAGGAGGCAGCTTCCCATCTTTTCCTGCTTTAAAGTAGTTCCCACCACAGAAGGCAGACCTGCTGCTGGGAGGTCGGGGAGACGCCTCTGCCCCCCGGAACCTGATGCCTTTTGAAGGGTTTTTTTTTTTTTTTTTTAAATTTGTTTTTTAGTTGTAGTTGGGCACAATACCTTTGTTTTATTTACTTGTTTTAATGTGGTGCTGAGGATCGAACCCAGGGCCTTGCATGTGGTGGGCGAGTGCTCTACCGCTGAGCCACAACCCCAGCCCTTGCAGGGTTTTTGATGACCATTTACATTTCTTCTTAAGAGTATTGATCTGTTTTGGTTTCCTCCTGTCTGGAGCTGACTTTCAGAACACACATCCTTTGGAGCAATGGCTGACCTCACCTGGTATAGAGCTGCTGGGATAAAGTTGCCCTCAGTTCTAGAATTCTGACTTGAGTCTGTGATGAGACTCCTTCCTGGTGTCCTCCTGACACTGGGCTCTTCCCAGACGTCATTAGTTTCTTAAAGAACTAGCACTCGGTTTTACTGATTGGTTCCTTTAAGTTTCTGTTTTTATCCTTATTTCTAATCAATTCAGTTTTAATTTTATGTGCCTCTATATTAATTCCATCCTTTCAGTTTCTTCAAGTTTTTTTTTTTTTTTTTTTTTAAAGAGAGAGTGAGAGAGATAGAGGTAGAGAGAGAGAGAATTTTTTAATATTTATTTTTTAGTATTTGGCGGACACAACATCTTTGTTTGTATGTGGTGCTGAGGATCGAACCCGGGCCGCACGCATGCCAGGCGAGCGCGCTACCGCTTGAGCCACATCCCAGCCCCTCTTCAAGTTTTTAGAAAATTGAAAGCTTAATTATTTCTCATCCTTCCCATCCACTTTTTTTGTGTGTGTGCTGAGGATTGAACCCAGGGCCTTGTGCAGGTGAGGCAAGCACTCTACCAATTGAGCGATTTCCCTATCCCCCCCATCTATCATGTTTAATAGTAAAAGTTCTATAGTTTTAAGTTTTCTTTCCAAGTATAGTTTGGGCCCCATTTTATAGTTTTGTTTTTTGTTTTTTGCTATTTTTTTTTGGTGCAGGGGTTGGAGCTCAGGGCCTCATTCATGGTAAGCATGTGCTGTACCACTGAGCTGCATGCCAGCCCTGTTTGCTTTCAGAATTTGAGAGTGTTTTAAATATTCCCACATTAAAAAATATATGTATCTATTAAACCCTTCTTGCCTTTTCTTATGGAAACTTCTGGTCTTTGAAGCTCAGCTCGAGGGTCTTGTCTGTGACAGAGCTTTTTCTCTAGCATCCCATGGCCTTTGGAGATACCGCTGTTTATTTTTTATAATAGCATGTTGTCTGCTATTTTTGGACTATGTTAGTCAGGTTTGCTTGGTAACAAATAATCCCCAAATCTGGGGTTTAAAACGAAAGGCTTTATCTTTTACTATGTGCTGGTTGCAGTTGGAGGTGGCTCTGCTTGTCATGGACCTACATGGAAGTTGCCATCTTGAGTATTGCTGTTCACCAGCCAGACAGAAAGGGAGGCCTTGAAAGGACCTTGTTCCATCAGCGAGGATTGTGGCCCAGAAGTGACACTTGCTCTCCTCCCACCTTGTTGGCTGCACGTAGCCATGTGCCCACCCAGGCTCAGGGGACTGGGAAGCCTCTCTCATGCACAGAGGAGATGAGAGGCAAGTGTCTGTGCAGCCTAGACTGCCGTGGAGCATCTCCCCGTGGGCTGTCTTGTTACTTTGCATTACCCAGTAGAGTCCTGGCCACAGTGCGGCATGGAGAGAGGTGTCTGGTCAGAACTCCTGTGTGTGCTAGGGTAGTTTAACTCAGAAGGAACAGGAGAGGCGATCTTGGCCATCCCTTGACAGGAAGCTCAGAGGCAGAGCTGATGTCAGGCACGGCTGGGTCCTCATAGTCACGTGCTGTCCCCGAGACGATGCTGCCGTCCTGTCCTCCTCCGGCCCTTCAGCTCTCCTTCCTTAGACGTGGCTTCCTTCTCCGTGGTGACCCCGGAGCTCCAGGGCTCTCCCTGGGCTTAGGGGTTCCAGCAGAGCACTTGTTTTGTCCAGTTGTTCCCGTAGAGTCCTGAGACAGAGCCCCTCATTCTGCAGTGTCACCTGCCTGCACGCTGTAATGA